CTGTTTTTTTGTTTGTTTTTGAGTTGGAGTCTCACTCTGTCGCCCAGACTGGAGTGCAATGGCCGCTCCCGGCCACCGCAGCCTCGCCCTGCTGGGCTCCAGCAATCCTTCCGCCTCAGCCTTCCGAGTAGCCGGAGTTACAGGCATGCGCTACCACGCCCGGCTGATTTTTGATTTATTGTAGAGATGAGGTCTCGCTGCCCAGGCGGGTCTCGAACCCGCGGGCTCAGGCAGTCCACTCACCTCAGCCTCCCAAAGGCGCGGGATGACAGGCTGAGCTACCGAGCATACCCAGTGTTTTATAGGCATGATGGTGTCTAATCATCATGGTCAGTTTGATACAATTTTCTCCATCGTATAGGTAAGAAAAACAGAAAACCGAGGCTCCGAGAAGTTAGGTGGCTTTTCTGGGGTCACCCAGCTAACAAATGGTCCAGCATAAAGGAAGCAATTTCTGCCTGACTCAGGCCAGGGTCCCTTGCGTTGTCCTCCACACATGATGGACACCCCAGGAAGGGGGCATTTGTATTATTAAAGCAAAAGGGGAAAGTGCCTGATGTTTGTACTATTACCTGTTTAAAGTTTAACAAGGCCAGGCAGGTGCAGTGGTTCACGCCTGAATCCCAGCACTCTGGGAGGCTGAGGCAGGAGAACTGCTTGAGCCCAAAAGTTCACCACCAGCCTGGGCAGCATAGTGAGACCTCGACTGTATAAAAAATACAAAAATTAGCCGAGTGTGGTGGCACACACCTTTTATCCCAGTTACTCGGGAGGCTGAGGCAGAAGGATCGCCTGAGCCCAGGAGGTCAAGGCTGTGATGAGCTGAAATGGCATCTCTACAATAAATCAAAAATCAGCCGGGCGTGGTAGCGCATGCCTGTAATTCCGGCTACACGGAAGGCTGAGGCGGAAGGATCGCCGGAGCCCAGCAGGTCGAGGCTGTGGTGGCCGGGAGCGGCCACTGCACTACAGTCTGGGCGACAGAGTGAGACTCCAACTCAAAAACAAACAACAAAAAAAAAGTGGCATAAGTCTTCTGACAAGTTGTTGGGGGAAAATAATGTGAGCTGAAAATAGACATGAACTAAAGATGTAAGCGGATCTCTCTCTCCTTGCAGCCATCCCTCCGTTTATCATGAACACTTTGGAAAAGAAAGCCTTTTTGAAGGTAAGCTCGGTTCCTTTGTCATTTTTCTCAATCCTTTTCAGATCGCAGACTATACAGGACTTTTCTTACATAAATAGTGAGGAAAGAATTTAAAGATCCATCTCTCTTGGGCACTTCCCTAGGTAAAAAAGATGCTTCCGGGAACGTTTTATTTCTAGTCTCAGATATTCGAAAAAGCTTCCTGTAAATGAGGTTGTAACCCAGCGACGCGCTGAGTCGTCCGCTGGACACCTGGCTGGGTAAAAGTGAAGAGATGATGTGACTTCGGAATGAATGATCTGTGTTTAAGTCACCGTCTGTGCTATCAGGAATGAGAAGCTGATGGGGAGTGGCTGCTTCCTGGCGTCTCGGGGTTGGAGCGGTGGCCGCCACCCCTCTGGTCTCTCGGTGACAAGCCCTGGACAGAGACGTAGTTGGGCATATGGCACGCTTTTCTTGCTGGGACAGACGGAAATGGCTGGAGATACACCCTGGCGTTTTCTCACATGAACGAGCTGGCAAGCGCTACAAGCCGTTCGCCCACCCCGCCCACCCCGCCACACTGCTCCAGGCCTCCGCACGATCATGAGTACATGCCGTGTTCTCGCTACGCTTGTCTCAATCCGTGCTTTGCACTTGGCCTCCTACCGTTCCTTTCCATTCCTGACACCGTTCCCGTCCGTCATAATTTGCCCCACCTCCCACAGTGCAGGGGCCACTGGTTGGGGACGCCCCCGTGTCAAGGTTCAGAGAGATGATCCGAGTAGCTCACGGATCGTTCTCAGTGCCTCACTGGTGGCAGACTGTAGCTGTGTTCCTTCCGACTTCTGGAAGATGTGGCTTTGAAAGTGTCGTGGCTAGGTACTGACGGGGTGCCCATGCACCCCCATCACTCCCACGTTCAGGGTTGCTGCTACACTTCAGTGTTGCGTTTCGCCCTTGTGGAGAGGACCGTAGAGCTTGATGGTGTAGATTTTACTAAAACACACACAGACCGGGTGTGGTGGCTCACACCTGTGATCTCAGCACTTGGGGAAGCTGAGGAGAGAGAGAAGTGCTTGAGCCCAAGAATTCGAGACCAGCCTGGGCCACCTAGTGGGACCTCGTCTCTACAGAAAAAATTAAACATTAGCCAGGTGTGGTGGTACACGCCTGTAGTCCCAGCTACTTGGGAGACTGAGGTGGAAGGATTGCCAGAGCCTAGGAGGTCAAGACTTTGGTGAGTTGTGATCATGCCACTGTATTCCAGCCTGCGCGACAGAGTGAGATCGCAAACCTGTGGCCTCAGGCAATCCACTCGCCTCGGCCTCCCAAACACACACAGGCAGTTTATGTGAATATTCCCACTTTTTCTTTTTTCTTTTCTTTCTTTTTTTTGTCAGAGTCTCACTTTGCTGCCCAGGCTGGAGTGCAGTGGCATGCTTACGGCCACCGCAGCCTTGACCTGCTGGGCTCAGGTGATCCTTCCGCCTCAGCCTTCTAAGTAGCTGGAACTATAAGCACACGCCATGTGCCACCACGCCCAGCTAATTTTTCTTTTCTTTTCTCTTCTTTTTTTGAGTTGAAGTCTCACTCTGTCACCTAGACTGGAGTGCAGTGGCACGCTCACGGCCACCGCAGCCTCCACCTGCTGGGCTCCGGCGATCCTTCTACCTCAGCCTTCCAAGTAGCCGGAACTACAGGCACGCGCTACCACGCCTGGCTGATATTTGACTTATTGTAGAGACGAGGTCTCGCCAAGTTGCCCGGGTAGGTCTCAAACCCGTGGCCTCAGGCAATCCACTCTCCTCGACCTCCCAAAGTGCTGGGATGACAGGCTGAGCCACTGAGCCCGGCCTAATTTTTTGGTTTATTGTAGAGACGAGGTCTCACCCTGTTGCCCAGGCTTATCTGGAACCTGTGGGCTCAGGCAATCCTCGTGCCTCCGCCTCCCAAAGTGGTGGGATTGTAGGTGTGAGCCACCTCGCCCAGCAGTATCCCCACTTTTTCGTGTTCAAAGCACTTTCACATCCTGATGTCAAGGCAGGCTTGACTGTGACCCCCCTACAGCGGCTCAAGGTCCTTCCCTTAGCAGGCCCCAGTGTGACTGCCTGTACAGTGGTGTCTACCTCAGTGAGCCCCTTTTTCCCACGGCTCCCGGGCCAGGTGTGCTTCCTTTGCTGGGGTGCAGTTATCCGGGCTTTTACCTTGGAAATGACCAGACTCCTCCACAAACTTGAAGCTGATTGAACATTCCGGGCTTTTTAAATCGGTGGTGCTTGGGGGGCGTTTGGCGTGACTCATGGTTCCCCCACGCCTTACCTCTTCCAAGCGGATAGAGCTGGAAAAGGCGTCCTCGGTGGGCAGGTGACGCACAGAAACTTTTCCAGTAAACAGAAAAGTTGACTGCCTCAGATCGGGAGCAGCTTCCCTGAAGAATAGCTCCTGTTGCCTCTTTATTTTATTTTATTTTTGAGTTGGAGTCTCACTTTGTGACCCAGACTGGAGTGTAGTGGCGTGCTCATGGCCACCGCAGCCTCAACCTGCTGGGCTCCGGCAATCCTTCCGCCTCAGCCTTCCAAGTAGCCAGAACTATAGGTGCGTGCTACCATGCCCGGTTAATTTTTGATTTATTGTAGAGACGAGGTCTCGCCAAGTTGCCCGGGCGGGTCTCGAACCCACGAGCTCAGGCAATCCACTCGCCTCAGCCTCCCAAAGTGCTGGGATGCCAGGCTGAGCCACCAAGCCCAGCCATGTTGCCTTTTTAAACTGGGGTCATTCCTGCTGGCACTTTCATTGGGAATAAAATAGATGCCGTCTGGGTCTTACACGAGGGCACGTTCCAAAAATTTGAATTCCTCTATGTTCTCTTTGGGAAAAGTGGACTGCTGAGTCTACACAGACGTTCAGGACTGTCTGCAAATTGAATGTGAGTGGAGCATTCATTTGTCCGTCCGTCTGTGTATTCAGCGGCTTTCTGCTGAATGCCGTGTTAGGCCAAGCGGTACCGTGGGCACTAGCATCCCAGCAAGAGGACATGATCCCAGTGGGGGACCCAGGCACAGGACAGAGGGTCACCATACTTGGTGACTGCAGCAGGGGGCTCAGGCAACACAAGGAGGCATCTTACCCAACCAGGTAGGTGGGCAGAGATGTGAGGAAAACTAGCCAAGGGCACGTGTTCCACAAAGGCTCCGTGAGGACACTTAGCATGGCTTCTTGGAGATTTGTGGGTGGTTGGGTGGGCTGGGATATAGGCAGCGTGTAGGGAATTGACTGTGCCACTTACGAAAGTGAGCTTTCAGTGGTTCAAGAATCTAAACGTAAAAGTCGGCAACTATATAACTTCTAGAAGAAAATATATAGGGCCGGGAGCGATGGTGCACGCCTGTAATCCCAGCACTTTGGGAGGCTGAGGCAGGAGGATCACTTGAGCCCCAACAGTTCAAGACCGGCCTAGACAACATAGCAAGATCCCATCTCTACAGAGAAAAAAATAAAAAAATTAGCCAGGCGTGGTGGCATGCACCTGTAATTCCAGCTACTCTGGAGGCTGAGGCAGAAGGCTCGCCTGAGCCCGGAAGGTCAAGGCTTCAGTGAGCCGCAATGGTGCCACTGTACTCCAGCCTGGGTGACAGAGTGAGACTCCGACTCAAAAAAAGAGAAAGAAAAAGGAAAAGAAAAAAAGAAACTGTAATTGAACAGGGAATAGGGAAAGAGTTCTTGGACACAATCCCAAAAGCAGAATTCATGTAAAAAGCTGACAAATCGTCAGCATCAAAATTTTCAAATTCTGTTCTTCAAAAACTCTCAGGAGAATGAAAAGAGAAGAAACATGTTGGAAGAAAAATTTTGCAAGGTATGGATCTGAAGAAAGAGCTTGTGTCCAGAATACATAAAGAACCCTCAACACTCATTGAAGAAAACAACCCAGTAAAAAATTTTGGCAAGGCAAAGTGTTCTCACAGGCTCTCTATCAAATGTGTACAGATATCAAATGAGCATCTGAAATAGATGCTCAGTATCTTTAGTCGTTGGGAAATTCAAATTAAAACCCCATGAGCTACCACTAAACACTGACTGGGATGTCTAAAATTAAAAAAGACCTACCATACCGAGTATTGGTGAGGATTCGGGGGGAGCTGAACTTCCACCACTGCCAGTAGAAACAAGATGTGAGGCAGTCACTTTGGAAAACAGTTTGGCGATTTCTTACGAAGTTAAGCATGTGCTACCGTCTGATCTGGCCATTTCACTCCGAGGTATTTACCAAAAAGAAGAGAAAACACATGTCTATAAACGAATGCTCTTGGCAGCTCTGTTGGTCATAACCCCAAACTAGAAACAACTCAAATGCCCACGACAGCAGGATGGATAACACATGGTGGTACAGCCACACCATGGAATACTTAACTTGGCAATGAGAAGTAACAGACTGTGGATACACACAGCAACATGAGCGAATCTCAAAGTCATTACACAAAAGATACTATTTATCAAGTCCTAGAAAATGCAAACTAATATATAGTGACCAGAAAGTAGGTGAGAGGTTTCCAGGGAAAGAGTTACAGGGTTTTGGGAAGAGGGAAAAATTGCAGAGGCGAACAAGGGTGCCGCCTTGACCTACTGGGCTCAAGTGATCCTTCCGCCTCAGCCTTCCAAGTAGCTGGAACCACAGGCATATGCCACCATGCCTGGCTAATGTTTTAATTTATTGTAGAGAGGAGGTCTCTCCATATTGCTCAGGCTGGTCTCGAACCCCTGAGCTCAGGTAATCCTCTTGCCTCTGCCTCCCAAAGTGCTGGGATTACAGGCGTGAGCCACCGCTCCAGGCTTGCGTTTATTATCTTAATAGTGAGGATGACTTCACAGCCATATACATGTGTCAGAACTTACATTGTCTACATTAAATATTTACAATTGGCTGTATGCCAGTGAAGCTTCTAGGAAAAAAGATCAATTGGGGAGAAAAAATTTACAGTCATATTAACTTTTTGAGTTTTTTACCTCACTGAATGAATTTACAGGGGTTGCCCAAAAAAGGCATACACATTTTAAGTATGACATTCCCTTCAAAGATGGCATTCATCAAATGCATACTAGCATCACCATGCGACAGGCAGGACGGCCAAAGAAAATGGCAGAAGCACGGTTGAGCAAACGTCATCTTACACATTGCTACCATAATTTATTTCAACTTCGAAAAGGAATGCATAGATAACATCGCTTAAAATGTGTATACTTTTTGTTGGCACTAAGGAGACTGAGACAGAAGGATCACCTGAGCCCAGAAGGTTGAGGTTCAGGTGAGCTGGGATCGTGCCGCTGCCCTCCAGCCTGGATGACGGAGCTTGACTCCAACTCAAAAAAATAAGATAAAATAACCTCTGTTCTGTTAGTTAAGACGTGTCCGTCCATACTTGAGGAATTTTGTGAGAAACTAGTGAAAGAGCAGACATCCTCGGCTCCCTGATTTCATGTCAGACTAAGCTCTATTTGACAAGAAGGGTTGAGTGAGGTTGGATGGAATTCTGGAGGTGGAGTTGGGAGAAGGGACCCCAGCAGGCAGGGTTTGTAAGGATGCTGGGCATCTCTACAAGCCTTTCCATCAAAGCCTCCACGGGAGCTGCAGTCAGCCTGCAGTTACACTCACCTGCCTCTGAGGGGACACCCAGCCTTCCCTTTGGGGTAACAGGTCAGCCCAACTTAACAGGTTAGTGGCAGGCAAGAGCCCACACAGAAGGAGGAAGCATTCCTACAGCCAGGTTATCCATCCACAGGCTCGCTCAGTGCTGAGCTTGCACCGAGCCTGTGCACCAACCCAGAGGTCACATGCCTAGGAAGCACTAGGGCGAGTGTTTACCACCTTCCTTTTGTTTCTTCTGAGCTGGAGTCTCACTCCGTCGCCCAGGCTGGAGGGCAGTGGCACACTCATGGCCACCGCAGCCTCGACCTGCTGGGCTCAGGTCAAGGCTGCTTCAGCCTTGCAAGCAGTTGGAACTACAGGTGTGTGCCACCATGCCCGTCTAATTTTTTTTTTTAATTTATTGTAGAGACGAGGTCTTGCCAAGTTTCTCAGGCTGATCTCAAACAATCCTCTTGGCTTTGCCTCCCGAAGTGCTGGGATTACAGGCTTGAGCCACCACGCCCGGCCTATTCACCACCTTCTTATGAAAATCTTTCATCTGGCCAGGCACAGTGGCTCATGCCTGTAATCCCAGCACTTGGGGAGGCTGAGGCGGGAGGATTGTTTGAGCCCAGGAATTTGAGACCAGCCTGAGCGACATAGCAAGACCTTGTCTCCCTATTTTAAAAAATTGTTTTTAAATATAAATTAAAAGGGTTTTTAAAAAAAATTAAAATTAGCTGGACTCGGTGGCTCAGCCTGTAATCCCGCGTTTTGGGAGGCTGAGGTGAGTGGATTGCCTGAGGCCATGGGTTCGAGACCCGCCTGGGCAACTTGGCAAGACCTACAATAAATCAAAAAATCAGCCGGGCGTGGTAGCGCATACCTGTAATTCCAGCTACTCTGAAGGCTCCACCTCTGGAGCCCAGCAGGTGGAGGCTGCAGTGGCCGGGAGCGGCCACTGCACTCCAATCTGGGCAACAGAGTGAGACTCCAACTCAAAAAAAAAAAAAATTTAAATTAAACTTTTAAAAAACCCTTCATCATGAGAGACAATTGCCCCAAGATGCAACTAGATACTCACAAAATTCCTCACTACAGGGACATGTCTTAACTGACAGCCTTCTTTTCTTTCTGTCTGCATAGCCTGTGTGGTTCGGGCTCCCTTGATGACATCTTTCCTTTCCTCTCTAGTCCGTCTCTTCCTCCCCTTAATGTTGACCCTCCCGATGTCCCCTTTCACCAGAGGAGTCCACCCAGGGACTTGGGTATGCTTCTCGTGCACGATGTCTTGTAACAGCTTGTGTTGACTCTTAACTAAGTTGGCTGGTTTCGTTACAACCAGATCACAACTTGGAGGCAGCTATTTCTATGGCCTTATTTATATAACCATATATCTCATTGCTCTTTATAGTGTGTATTTTGGTACCACTTTTTTCTAACTAAAAATCTAACAGCATTTATTCTCCAAAAGACCAACCAACTCGTTCAAAGAAGGCGTGACTAGCAAAATGTTTTATGCCCAGAATAGTTGTAACCATACTGACAGTGACGAAAACCAAGAAAGGGTGCGGGGACATGGGGGTAAGCATTTGTGGGGTGTCTGCTGCATCCCAGGTATTGTACTAGGTGCCTTATGAACGTTACCTGGCATGTCTGCATCCACACACTCTTAGGAAGCAGCTATGCTGTTCGTTTTGCACCCTAACAAGGAAACCCAAGCTTGGAGAGGTTAGACTCTGCCGGCCCTTTCACTGCCATAGGGAGCTAACTTGTAGAGCAGAGTAAAGTGGGGTGCAGAGCCGGGCGTGGTGGTTCACACCTGCAATCCCAGCACTTCGAGAGTCAGAGGCAAGAGGATTGCCTGAGCCCAGGTGTTCGAGACCAGCCTGGGAAACTCAGCAAGACCTCGTCTCTACAATTAAAAAAAAAAATTAGCCAGGCATGGTGGCGTGCACCTAAAGTTTCAGCTACTTGGAATGCTGAGGCAGAAGGATCTTCTGAGCCCAGCAGGTCGAGGCTGCGGTAGCTGTGAGCATGCCACTGCACTCCAGCCTGGCTGACAGAGTGAGACTGACTCAAAAAGAAAAAAAAAGAAAGAAAGAAAAAGAAAAGTAAATTTGAGTGCAGGGCTATTTGCCTTCAAACCTGCCCCCATCCAGGAGATAAATTATAATTAAATGTAGCTATTTCTCCAGCTTCTACTCAGCACTCAGATTATACGCGCAAGGAGAAAAATAAAATAAAATAGAAGCCACTTGATCTTTGCACGTGTGTTCGTTTACAGATCAAAGAGGGTGTAGGAAGTCAGGACTAACACCCTTGTGTAGTGCTCCCCCACATATCCACTAACCACGTGCCATTTGCATTTCGTAACGGGGTGAGATTCTTCCCGGTTAATCCACAGAAAAGCTTGTCTCCAAGAGCTTTTATAGAAAATATTCAAAATCATTTCTTTCTCGCCACAGAGGTTCCCGTGGATGAGTGCACCTATTCAAGTTGGATTGGTTGGCTTCTGGTGAGTAGATGCTACTTTTACATAATTAATTTCTTTTAAAAATATAAATACACTGCATATGAAGGGTGAGGAAAAGGTTGGATGATACGGGACACATGTTTTGGGAGTGAGACTATCCCCAAATGTCTGAAACTTGCAATCCTGTTCGTTAGGTAGGAGTAAACTGTCCCTGGAGAAACTTACAATGTGTGGAGCTATTTGGGTGATTCTTTTTTAAAACTCCTGTTTTCACTTTGATTATTGCTTTTTCATTATTTGCCAATCCTTGCACACAAAGGACACGTTTGTGTCAGGCAATATAATGCTCTCAAGAAAAAAAAGGGTTTGTTAGGAATGTGAAATAGAAAAAAAGAATCTGAAAGTGGACCATTTTGAAATGCTCTGACTTGTCTTTTGTTTTTTTCTTTCTTTCTCTTAAGTTTGGTATTTGCCACCCCCCTATGTTGTGCTCTGTTTCCTCAGAAAAGGTATGTATTTGTTATTCTTCAGAATGATCATGAGTTTTAACTCTAAAAGTCAGTTGAAGACGCAGGGGCTTTATTCCATTTCACTGGGAGGGACATGAAGATAATGCAGCCAAGGTCTTCAGAAGTTGGCAGAGGCAGAAACAGCCCACATCTGTCGAACTTCAAAACTCTCTGCACCCAGCTCTTTTCTACCCTGTTTCATTAAGCCCGAAAACACTTTATTCTTTTGTAAGAGCCAAGTGAACTTTAGCGTAAAACTCACTTTTATAGAAATTGAAATAAGGCTCATTGTCATCCCATCCATCAGCAAAGGCATCTATAATACAGGTATGTTAGAATTTAAGTTCCACCCCCAGAGACAAGGATTGCATGCACTTAGCTTAGGCAGTCGGTGTATTTGCTTCCCTTCTTCCTACTTGGTCTTTTGCCTTAAAAGCTTTCTCAGACGTGTCTTTCATCACGAGCTGCCTTCGAATCCTGCCTTTGATCTAAGGGCTGGATTGACCGGCACGAAGTCAGTGTTGTCTACATTCAGGTCTCAGTCTCCTCCTGACCTCACGCCAAGATACAAAGAAGCCGCATTTTTGTCGTCTGTGGTTTTGTGTTAACGTGGCCAGGCCCCTTGCCTCTATGACACCCTTTCCATCCATGGGCCAGCAGTTCCCAAACATATGGTCTTCAATCCTCTGGCTTTGCAAAACTGGTTTTGGATGGTATGCTCTGGTCCCTTTACCTGACAGAGAATCCCACCTCTTGTCTGTGCCCCACTCTGTCTTTGACCCTGCTCTTCTTGAATAGAGATATAAATCTCACGGACAGGGAGACCTTCCTCACCCGAAGGCCTCCAGAGGTGACACACACACACACACACACACACACACACACCCGCCCTTAACGAGGGCAGAACCTTCAGAATCTGTTCTGCAAATCCAGTATAGATGACCCAAAAAAAAAAAATCAGCCCGGCATGGTGGCGTATGCCTGTGGTTCCAGCTACGTGGAAAGCTGAGGTAGAAGGATCACCTGAGCCCAGCAGGTTGAGGACGCAGTGGCCATGCGTGTGCCACTGCACTCTAGCCTGGGTGACAGTGAGACTCCGACTCAAAAAATAAAAACAAAAAAATTGAAAGGTAGCTGTCATTATTTTGAGATTTAAAGTATTTTAAATTTGAAAACCCACAGAGTCACTTTATACTTAGACTTCCATATACCCCTGTAATACCTTCAAATACATATTTTAAGTGCATAAAGCAAAAACTTAACAGTAGTTTTTTTCTCAGTGGTGGGACTACGAGTTTGGGTTTCTTTGTGCTAAAATTTTAGAATTTTCTAAAAGTTATATAATCATGGGTTATGATACAGTGAACAAAAGCACCATTCACATAAGCAAATGGTTAGTGTTAATAAATTCCACTGAGTGTATGTATCTTTTTTCATCAATGGCGAACGTTTATATTGTTTTCCTTGGGAAGTGGCATTACCACAGACTGGTTTTCTAACACCAGCAGGGTCTGAGAGTGTCGTTGTTGTACTCTCTTGCCAGCAATAAGAGATTTTTCAGCTTTTAACAATACGAGAAGTAAAAAGGGGGCCTGGTGCAGTGACTCACACCTGTAACCCCAGCACGCTGGAAGGCTGAGGCAGGAGAATTGCTTGCACCCAGGAGTTTGAGGCCAGTCTGGGCAACATAGTGAGACTTCATCTCTACCAAAAAAAAAAAAATTAGCCAGGTGTGGTGGCACATGCCTGCCCCAGCTACTAGGGAGGATGGATCAGAAGTATCACCTGAGCCCAGGAGGCTGAGACTGTGGCGGGCTGTGATTGTGCCACTACACTCCAGCCTGGGTGACAGAGTGAGATCCTGCCTCAAACAAAAAAAAGAAGAAGAAGTCAAAAGGGTTGGGTGTTAGGCTCTGAAGGTACCTTTTTTAAATCACTAGTGGTGATTTTCTGAAAGGAATAGGATACGTGTTTTCCAGCTGGGCACGAAGCCTTTCTCGAGCAGGACCATGTGTCACTGCACCAGGCCTGGGCTCTCTGCATCTGTGCCCTCTGCCTACTCCTTGTAGCTTCTGGTTCCCACCTCTGCCCGTGTAATGACCCTGTTGTTTCTCCCCTTATCCAGTTCCATGTCTGTGACCAGCCTGGAGGCCGAGTTGCAAGCTCAGATCCGAGAGGCCCATCCTGAATTGCGTCGTGTGTACTTTAACAAGGGATTGTAAAGCAGGGCAGGAGACCAGGTGGCCGCGCTGGGGAGAAAGAGCCTGTCCGACCCGAGTTCTCCCGCTCACAAAACCCTTTTAAAGACCCACATTAGCCTTTTAGAATAAAGCTGCTACTTACACCCCAACACCCGGTGTGGGCCAGGTGCCCGACACCTGCTGATGCCCCCACCTACATTAGAATCAAGTTAGGATTTGCAGAAATACCCTTCCAGTGGCTTTTATAGTCATTGGGTTTCAAAGACAATATACCAGCCCTCCCTCGAGGTTTTAAAAAGACCCTGCTGGAAATAGAATAGGTGCTCAGTATATGGTCAGTAAATATTTCTATGTTATCAATCAGTGAAAAGAGAATCCACTTAAAATATTGAATTTTCATCTCACTCCTGTCGCAAATCAAGAAGATCTCAGCAGCGAATTGGGAAAATACAGAAGCTCTGAGGCTAACCTGTAAGAACTTACCCTTAAATGTTAAGGGTGGTTTGCTTCCAGTCTGGACAGTGGACAGACCCACGGTGTGTGATGGAGTTTTTAAATCTGAGGATAAAAGCCCCTTCGTATACCTTCCAGAGGGCACCACCATACACGCCTTCTCTGCTGCCAGAAATATATACATTCGTGTTAGGGGTGGGTTTCCTTGGGAGAAGGTTTACATTCTTATAAAGATGTTAATCTTACCTTGCAGTTATTAACTTTATATTCCATTATTTACATCAAATATCAGGTAGCTGAAATGTACAAATGTCAGATTCTGGAAGTACATTCAATACCAATGCCGTATGACTGGGCTGAATCTGGCTTGTCAGATTATTTTTTTAAGAAGTGAGACTACAGTTCCAGCTGCTTATGTGTCTTTCCTCATCACCCTTATAGATGTCTTTGGCTTTCAGAAAGATACAGATAATATATGTATGAATCGGTCACAGTGAATTTTACTTGAATATTGTATAGTGCATTCCACCCTGTTTGAAAATAATGAAACTATGTACCACTGTTTACATCACTTGTAGTAATTTCACAGGTAATATATTTACTATAACAAAGATTGTACTTAAGTCTGTAGATGTTTTAACGTCACACAATCGGCCCTCCTTATCCATGGGTTCCACGTCTGTGAATTCAACCAACTGCAGACCGAGAATATTTTTTTTAATGATAATGCAACAGTGAAAAATAATACAAATTTAAAAATTGATACAGCCTAACAACTATTGACACAGCACTTAAGATTGCATTAGATATTATATGATTGAAGGTATATAGTGTGTGTGTGTGTGTGTTATATGCAAATCCTGCACTGTCTTATATAAGGGACTTGGGCATCTGTGGCTATTAGTATCAGAGGGAGTCCTGGAACCAATTCCCCTTGGATACAGAGGGACGACTGGGAGGCGATGATTTCACGGAGTAGAGATCATTGTAACTCAGAGATTTGTAAGTGAAAAAATATAGAAACAATTTAGTTTTGACAGATTTGTGTGTGTGTTTTCTGACAATGTGACCAGACTGAATTTCCTCATAAAGAAAAAATGGTGTGCCTTGTGTCTGTGTTTCTCTTTTCTCTGGAAGGAGGGATTGGTGGATCTGGAGCTTTGGGCTGCTCAGAACCCTCCTCCATGACACTAGAATCTTCTCATTTAGATTTTCTGTCTTAAGCCGTTGGAAGCCAAATGGCTTCCTTGTGACATTCGGGCCTTGGGCAGATCCTGTTGCCCTCAATTTCTCTTTTTAAGAGTGGTCACAGCCTGGAATTCGGGCCAGATCTCCACCAGGTGCTTCAAGGCCACTTTTCCGAAGAGGTTACAGAACTCGATGTCTCCCCTGTGCACCCCCCCCCATCTCAGAGTCCTCCCCCCAGCTGACTTGTGGTCCCATTTCAAAACATTCACCTCCAGTGGAAAGTTAATGACTGGTTAGAAGACTGACGAACTAACCAAAACTTGACACACACCAGGAAGATATAGCCAAAGCATAGTGGTCGAAGGGGTCATGAACTTGGAGATGTGTCTTTTTAAACATTGTCTTTCGATGCTTCAGGCTTTTTTTTTTTTTTCTTTGAGTTGTAGTCTCTGTTGCCCAGGCTGGAGTGCAGTGGCATGCTCACAGCCACCACAGCCTCGACCTGCTGGGCTCAAGTGTTCCTTCCATCTCAGCCTTCCAAATAGCTGTAACTATAGGCGTGCGCCATTGCACCCGGCTTATTTTTCTTGATTTATTGTAGAGGTGAGGTCTCAACCAAGTTGCCCAGGCTAGTCTCAAACCCCCGGACTAAAGCAATTCTCTTGCCTTGGCTGGGATTACAGGCTTGAGCCACCATGCCCGGCATTTTTTTTTTTTTTAATTGAGGCAGAGTCTCCATCTGTTTCCTAGGCTGGAGTGCAGTGAAATGGTCACAGCCACTGCAGCCTTGACCTGCTGGGCTCGGGCAATCCTTTCACCTCAAACTTCCAAATAGCTGTACCTACAGGCATGTGCCACCATGCCCGGCTAATTTTTTAAAATTTATTGTAGAAACGAAATCTTGCCAAGTTGCCCAGGCTGGTCTTGAACCCCTGGGCTCCGGCAATCCTCACCTCTGCCTCCCAAAGTGCTGGGATTACAGGTGTAAGCCACTGTGCCTGGTGCTTCAGGCACCTAATACTTTTATATCGACATATTAACTATAGTTTAATCATGGTTTATAAAAAAGAACAAATGAATCGGATTGGTAATTCTTGCTGATCTTTTAGAAATACCTTTTCTGGAGGAAAAAAAAATCCACATAAAGTGCAATAAGCTTATAAAGGTAAATAGTTGTTAATATTCCTATTGACATGATATAAAGAAATATGCTTGCATTTACTGATTGGCAGTTGTTGTTTCAGTGTTAGCAGAGTGTCTTGCCCGTGTCAGAGTCCATGTGTTTCTTCAGTTGAACTGGATGAAATGTTAAATAAACTCAGAATGAAAATCAATTCTCTCTTTTATTTATATGTAAGGGATAAAGCAGTTTGTATGCTTCAGTTGATGGTACCTTTCATTCAAAGCTACTATCTGCAGTACCATCAGAAGTTCCCAGCCGGGCTTGGTGGCTCAGCCTGTAATCCCAGCACTTTGGGAGGCTGAGGTGAGTGGATTGCCTGAGCCCGCGGGTTCGAGACCCGCCTGGGCAACTTGGTGAAACCTCATCAATAAACCAAAAATTAGCCGGGCATGGTAGCATGCGCCTGTAGTTCCAGCTACTTGGAGGGCTGAGGTGGAAGGATCGCCGGAGCCCAGCAGCTCGAGGCTGTGGTGGCCAGGAGCGGCCACTGCACTCCAGTCTGGGCGACTGAGTGAGACTCCAACTCAAAAAAAAAAAAAAGTTCCCAAGGAAGGGATATTTTTGTATTATGTCTTTAAGAGGTTATATATTTCTGTTTTGGGCTACCGGCCTTCCACCTTTTCAAACCCCGTATAGAGGCAAATTCTCCCACTCCCCGCCCCCAGCCCCACACCAATGTGATTCCAAGAATATGATTTATGGGCATGGGAGGAAATGGGTTTCTGCCTTAGACCCAGATGGCTAACACCATTGCACGGGACGGGGAGGGAAATTTGCCTTTATGTTGTTTGATTCTGGCATGGAACTGACATTTGTCATCGTTAACAGAGAAAGTCAAAATTAACCTAAGACTGGGGAGTGCCTTCATAACAGGCTTAACACAGAACTGGACATTGTAACTTCCTTGGTCGTGTTTCTGCATCGACTTGACAACAGCATCTCTTTGTCACTGGAAGTATTTAAATACATTCAGGAGCAAGGAGTCAGAGCCGGGTCCAGTCCTTGTTGTACCCATCTATAAAATATATACCTTTGGACCAGTAACATTCTCTGCAATGGTCAGTTTTGTTTTGTTTGGAGAATTCCTTGAATCTACCTCACAGAGTTGTTGTAAAGTTTAAAAGAGAGAATCCCTGCACAGCCATTAGCATTTGCCTGGCACATAGTAAATTTTCAGTGAATGGCCTGTCCTATATTTGCTTGTTTCTGAACCTTGGCGACTTCGCAAGAGATAACCCACAACTTAACTAAAAATATCAGATTAAAACGGTCAAGTGCCAGGCGCGGTGGCTCATGCCTGTCATCCCAGCACTTTGGGAGGTGGAGGCGAGAGGATTGCCTACGCAAGAGGATTGCCTAAGCTCACAGGTTCAAGACTAGACTGGGCAACTTGGTGAGATCTCGTCTCTACAAAACAAAACAAAACACACACACACACACACACACACACAAAGGCTAGCCAGCCATGGTGGCACACACCTGTAGTCCCAGCTACTTGGAAGGCTGAGGTAGAAGGGTCGCCAGAGCCCAGCAGGTCAAGATTGTGTTGGCCATGAGAGTTCAGCCTAGGTCACAGAGTGAGACCCCGAATCAAAAAAGAAGAAGAAGAAATGACCAAATGGAGACTCTTGATTCCGATCCTTTTAAAATGTCTCACAGTCAACACTTTGCTTAAATGAGGCAGAGGAAGGAAGGGTCTCCACTCACAGATGAAATCAGGATTTCTAGTCGTGAGGGGCAAGCTCAAGGCCACTCCTAGTCACTTGACAGCTGTCCTGGGGGCTGGATCTGACTCCCAAGCCTGCAGTCCTATCCAGAGATGTAAACAACAGGAATCTGTTCACAAAACCCATTTTTCTTTTGCATATTCAGAGTTCTTCTGGAAGATGTAGAAAAATAAGGCCACGTTTGGCGGTGATGATAAAAAACAGCGACCCAGCTGGGCTCGGCAGCTCAGCCTGTCATCCCGCGCCTTGGGAGGCTGAGGTGAGTGGATTGCCTGAGCCCGCAGGTTCGAGACCCGCCTGGGCAGCGAGACCTCATCTCTACAATAAATCAAAAAATTAGCTGGGCATGGTAGTGCATGCCTGTAATTCCAGCTCCTTGGAAGGCTGAGGCGGAAGGATCGCCGGAGCCCAGCCGGTCGAGGCTGCAGTGGCCGGGAGCAGCCACTGCACTCCAGTCTGGGCGACAGAGTGAGGCTCCAGCTCAAAAAAAAAAGCAGCGACCCACAACATTTTTGGCATCAGGGACTGTTTTCGTGGAAAACAATTTTTCTACAGATGACGGCAGGGGTGCGGGGGGTGGTTGTGCACTCAAACCTCACTGCTCATGTTAATCTATATTTGCAGCTGCTCCCCAGAGCAAGCATCACCAGCTCAGCTCCACCTCAGATCATCAGGCATTAGCTTCTCATAAGGGGCATGCAACCTAGAGTCCCTGCATGTGCGGTTCACAATAGGGTTCACACTCCTATGAGAATCTAATGCCACAGCTGCTCTGACAGCAGGCAGAACTCAAGCGTTAATGCAAGCCATGGGGAGTGGCTGTAAATATAGATGAAGCTTTGCTCGCTCACTTCCTGTTCTATGGCCCAGTTCCTAACAGGCTGTGGACTGATACTTTGTGGCCCGGGGGGTGGGGACCCCTGATCTAAAGTATCACTTAAACCTAAATAAGCCGGGTATGGTGGCTCAAGCCTGTAATCTCAGCACTTTGAGAGGCAGAGGTGAGAGAACTGCCCAAGCCCAGGAGTTCAAGACCAGCCTGGGCAACTTGGTTGAGACCTCCTGTCTATAAGAAATTTAAAAATTAGCTAGGCATGGTGGCGCGTGCCTATAGTTCCAGCTACTTGGAAGACTGAGGCAGAAGGATTGCCTGAGCCCAGTAGGTCGAGGCTGTGGTGGCCGTGAGTGTACCACAGCACTCCAGTGTGGGTGACAGAGTGAGACTCCAACTTAAAAAAAAAATACAAAACTCTAGATAACCAGAGTGTGGTCTGCAGACCAGAGGTATCCAAGTTTGTTAGAAATGCAAATTCTCAGCCTGGCTCGGTGGCTCAGCCTGTAATCCCAGCAATTTGGGAGGCCAAAGCTGGTGGATTGCCTGAGCCCATGGGTTCAAGACCAGCCTAGGCAACTTGGTGAGACCTCATCTTTACAATATATAAAAAATTAGCTGGGCGTGGTAGCATGTGTCCATAGTTCCAGCTACTTGGAAGACTGAGATGGAAGGATTGCCGGCGCCCTGGGTTGCCCATGAGCATGCCACTGTACTCCAATCTGGGCTACGGAGTAAGACTTCAACTCAAAAAAAAAAAAAAAGAAAGAAAAGAAATGCAAATTCTTGGGCTGGATCCCAGACCTACTTACTGAGCTAGACTCTAACTAGAGCCCAAGGTGATGCTGTGTACATCACAGCCTGAAAAGTTCCAGCTGCAGCCAAATTTCTGGTGTTTCCGGGGGTCAGTGAGCTCACTAGGTCAATTTGAGGACAACTTGTGATTTTCTATGAATTCTAGTATTTACCGTTGGGGGGTGGGATGAAAGTTGACATCCTTGGGGTCACTGTCTCATATCAGCAAGCTTACGAGGGTGAGGATGTGGGTTTCTGTGTTGCCATATCCCCAGCAGTTCAGGATCCATGTGGCCACTGGTCTCAGCCTGGGCTCTTTGCAGGAATCTGCACTGTCCTCACCTCCTGTTTAGACGTGGAAAGGAATCCATTTTGCGT